CGTAGTGACGTCAGCAATTACACTCAAATAATCTTTCGAAAGACCTCGGACACTTGGACAAGCCTTCAAGACCGACCGCATACCGCTAGTTGTCCAAGTGCCCAGGCTTTTGACCAAAAAACATTGGGATTCCTTTCCAACGACGTCAGCAACTACACTCGTACAAATTTCCGGAAGACCTCGAACAAGCCCAAGACCAACCGCATACTGGCGGCTGTCCAAGTGTTCAAACTTTTGCTAAAGATATTGGAACCCCTTGCGGATGACAACGTCACTATGTGGGCCTCCGACTGGCTCCAACTAGCGCTCTGCGTCTTGACGGACTGCTGCGCCCTCAATCAATCAAGTGCTCAGCTCCAGCTCCGAGCAAGAGCACGAAGACCTCTTCTCGCGTATGACCATTCAGGGCATAGCCATACAACTTCCGAACGTAGTCCACCAGCTCAGAGTCGTGGTTGAAGATGTCGCCTAGAAAAGCATCAACGAGCGGAGTTGGGTATTCGATCCCCTGCAGGAAGAAACAAGCTGCATCTTATGATCCGAACACTTCAGCTTCTTGCATGTTGCATTAGCAAACAAAGAAAAAACTTCAAGCCAACAACAGGAGACAATTTAAAAGACAACGTGCAACATGGCAAAGCAGTATTGGCAATTCAAGATGCTAATCAATTCTGCAGACGAAGTGTCAATTGCTGCACCCACAAGACAACGGAGATAATTGCAGCAAACCTGCTCAGCACTTCAAAGAGTAGCTACCGAAGCCTTGTTGCATGCTTTCTCAAGGGCTTGATCGTCGAAAGTGGGGCTTACCATAAAGTTCGTCTCTGCAATCTTTGAGCACATGTACTCGGGCCTGTGCACATCAAGCATGCCCGTTTTCAAAAGGAGCACGCCATTTCTCACGTTCAGAATATCTGGGTTTGCATCCAACTGTTGGAAGAAATCGGGGGCAAACAGCTCCCTCGGACGAGTTCCAGAGTACTGCCCATCTCTCGGCTATTGTTGTACGTGCGCAGGTGCTTCAGCTGCTGTTTCAGCGCCTCCCGCTGTTCCTCCTCCCGGGTTGCCTCAATCATTGCACTCAACTCGTCCCTTACTCGCTTGTAGACGATCCTCAGCTGATTGATGAGAACGGTCTTCACAAAGAATGCACTTTTCTCATCCGCTGCAAAGCGCCGCCCGTCCCAATAGTGCCACCTTTCACCATCAAAGCACAACCTGCAAGGGTAAGAACCAAAAAAGAGATGGATGTCGGATGTCCAAGTGTCCGAGCTTTTACGAAAGACTCATGCCTCCTTCTCTGATGACGTCAGCAATCACGACCACACAAAAATCTTCCGCCAGACCTCGGACACTTGGACGAAGACCTGAAACTGGTTGCATACTACCGGCTGTCCATCTGTCCAAACATTTATCAAAAAAATTCTGACTCCTTTCGCTGATGACGTCAGCAATCACGACCACACAAAAACTTTCCGTCAGACCTTAGACACTCGGACGAACCCGGGCAAGACCGAGTGCATACTGCCGGCTGTCCATCTGTTCGAGCTTTTATCGAAGACTCCTGACTCCTTCGCTGATGACGTCAGCAATCACGACCACACAAAAATCTTCCGCCAGACCTTGGACACTTGAACGAACCTGGGCAAGACTGTTATCAATAACAGACTGGCATGATACTCACCTGCCGCAGCTTGCGTACATCTCAGCAACAATTTTGCTGCCGCCAACATCGCCCTCAAAAGCCCAGTGATCAACGAAGCTCTTGTGCAGGGCGTTTATTGCAGTGACGTGGTCGGCACGAAAAGCTTGGGTCTCGCCGCCGGCCATGGCCTCTGGGCGCGTGAGCTCTCCAATCTTTAGTAAAGGACGGACACCCTGGCACTCCGAGCTATTGCAGCAATAGAGCAGGTTCCTCTTGCGTACCAACACGCTAAAGTTGTTGAAGCCGTCGTGGTGATTGCCGTATGGGCAGCGTCGAGGGCCGTCCACTCGGAACACGTACATTGGCCCGGAGACGCCCACCTTGAGGCGATCAAAGCGGGAGGTGTTGTCACCAGTAGCCGCCACGCAAGCTTTGACGCGCTCCAAGACTGCTGCTGGGGGGGTCTGCTGAGACTCTTCAAGCTCGCGAGGAGGTCCAAATGATGTAGCATGCGACTCGCTGCAGAATTCGAAAGAGTGAATGCTGATTGGAACCCAGTTACATGATTCTCTCAAGCCTTAGAATCGATCAACTTTGTAAGACAGCATGTGCAGTCAGAATTCAAAGAGAGTGACGACAAGTGAGATGAGACAGCTCAGGCATCCCGGTGGAAGCAAATAATCATATAACGAGAGGGAGAGACACACATGTATGCGAGCGTTTCAAAGATCAACTTTGTAAGACAGCATGTGCAGTCAAAATTCAAAGAGAGTGAAGATAAGTGGGATGAGACAGCTCAGACATCCCGGTGGAAGCAAGTAATCATATAACGAGAGGGAGAGACACAGAGGTATGCAAGCGTTTCAAAGTTTCCCTGCTTTCCGTCAAAGGATCTCAATAGTGTGTCGTCGTGTCACATTTATAGCGTACGGGTTGAACAGCTCAGGTGTGTCATGGCCAACTTTGCTTTGCGAACACCGAACCTGAGTTCTAAAACGTTGTCTCTCACACTGGACAGATCGTCCAACTGACTGGGCCGAGCTGTGCACTCAATTGAAGCACTTACAACAGTGGCTTGATGACATCATCAAATTGCAATCAAAAACTTTGTTCTAAAGCTTGGACAATTCGGACAGCTTGGACAGCTCGAATGGCATATGAAGCACTTAGGCAAAATAACGTACCTGGCTTTGCCCCCCTCCCGAGGTACCTTGACACCCCCGCTTGTTGCCTCGCTGTCGTTGTTCAGGATGGAGACGAGCCACTCTGGCACCGCTCTAAGATTGGAGCGATCAGGCAAGATCTCCTGGTCCCACTCGTAGCGCCGCAGCGTGCCATCAAGAGCCGCATAGCTGCTGGGTGCAGTGTACAGCATCCCCCCTTTTCCGCGCACATCGATGCCCACTGCTTGACCCTTGTAGCAAATTCGGGCTCTATTGCAGCAGTTGCGCAGGCCGGCCTGCTCGGACTGAGAGAGAGAAAAGAGTATATGTAGCCCTCCATTCCCGGTGGTTAGGCGGGGCGTGTCTTCTAAGAAACCCCCGTGCTCTTTGAGTATCTGCTCGAGCGCTTTAAAGCCGACGTCCTTCACATCCACATCAAGAGCATAGATGTCTGACACCTCTGTAATGATGGCAATAGAGTTGCGCCCCGGCTTGGCAAATTCGGAAAGGCAGTTGCTGAGGTTTGCCTCTTTCCAGGATTTGGGGGACGCCCAGTGAGAGGGGGCTTTGCAGACTTTGCCGTTCTTTTGCAGCTTTTCCTGAAGGTCGTGAGTGACGGTTACTACGCCAAGGCCGTGGAAGTAATGAGCAGCAGCCAGGATGGGGTCGATTGGCGGCGTCGGCTCAGCCCTTGACTGCGCCGGGGCCCCGCCCACTGGGCTTGGTACCTGCAAGAAAAGGACCTCAGGAAAGGACCTCAATTCTTACAAGATTGGCTGCTGGGGCGGTAATTGGACAAACCATACACAAAGAAGAGCCGCCCAGTCTTGATGCCTACGAAGAGACTCCTCGCTAGACCTTGATCGATCTCCCACTTCGATTCCCCTAGCTTGTTCAGATCGCAAGCTGCAGAAGGTTCCAGTCTGACATGATGTTAGCAACCACAACCACGCAAATATTTCGTCACACCCTAAACATTTGGACAAACCCCCAGAACCGTTATCTTACGTATGGCTGGTTGTCCGAATGTCCAAGCTTTTATCAAAGAACTCGAACTGCTTTCGAGTGACGTCAGAACAATCTTGTGAAACCACCAAGCGAAGAGTTCCGAAGCCTGAAGCTCTAAAAACGTACTGCTGATAATCTTGGCAGTGCAAGCATCCAGGCTCTACAATGAAAACGACGTCCAACTGGCAGACTCTAACGACCACGAATGCAGCCGGTCAGGAAAAAAAGCACTGGGCCCCGGGCGAGTTCTCAACCAACACAAAAATTGGGACAATATCAAAACTGCAGAATTTTATTGTCCGTGAAATTTGAATGAACATTCGATTTGAAAGTTAGCGCCAGAGTGCCACCCCAGTCACACACACTTGAATCGGATTGCCAGGACAGATTGTTGAGCCAAATGGCAAGGACACTCGTATTCCAACTTCTCTCTGTTTCCTTCACTTACTTTGTACCATAACACGTGGTTCCAGATCAAAAAATGGCCGAGTCCAGTGCAACACAATGTTCCTCCTTCAAGCTTCAAGTATGAAACATGATGGGTACAAACTTATCGAGGGTTTGTACTCATGAAGGCAACTTGGCAAAAGCACTGTCAAGAAGCAGAATGGAAGGGGCTTAGATTTGAGAGTGAGCACACCGGAGACGCAGGAACCCTGCAATTGCCCCCAACATGGAGGTCTATGCGGCAGACGCTGAAGTACGCGCGCAATTCCTCCCAATCACAGTCATCGTCCCAGGCCAAATCCCAAGTAGGGTCGTCACCGTCGTCAGTACAAACGTCATCCCGGTCATTTGACTCGGCAGGTTGACCCCCATCCTCGGAGCCCAACTCGTTTGCTTCCTCTCCAGCTTCCGCTTCCTGACTCGGCGCTGACAGTTTTACCCGGCAACAACGCACCAGAGGAGGCTGCGCAAGCAACAGACTGTGCAATTAGCTAGAAGCGACAAAAGACTGCTGACATCCAGCTTGGATTTGAGCGACAGTGCTTTTTTTATACAGTGCTTGGACAGCTCGGACACACTTGGATTGGGTCGAGGCAGTCAGCTACAATGCAAAAAGTGATGACGTCAACATGCAGGCAATGAAAATTACTTTATGCTAGACTTTGGACAGCTTGGACAAGCTCAGACAAGCCCCAGAGCGAGTGGAATGCAACGCATATGATGTTTCTCAAACACATGTCAAATTTCAAGAAGGGTTTCTAGAGTTGTATCGTCCGAGCTGTGGGAGAGTATAACCTGGCGCGTCTTCCGTCTTTTACGGAGCCTGACGCTCAAAGAAGTCAACTCGTTCTTCGTCGCTTGTGAGCATACCTCTGCATTGCTATCAGCAGCTTTCCGTAAGGTCCCATCATCTTTCTGTTCTGATATTCTCTTTGCGAGCTCTGCGCCATCGTCACCCTCGTCATTGTTGCGGCTTCTCTTTTTTCTTGCGATGCGGAAGTTCCTTTTGCCGTTAAGCAAATCCGCCGAGTCAGTCTGCAAAATTCGACAAGCGGAGTAGCAAATTTTTGTAAGGATATGGGCAGCTACGATGCTGGGGGCATCGTTGAAAAATTCTGATCGCACAGCTGCTGAACCAGCCTGGACCGTCTATGTCTAGCTGTTACATTTTGCCCGTGGTAACAGCATCTACATTGAGGCACTCGTCTTGATGTCACTTCTGCTGGCAAGAGCGCGTTACAGCATTTAGGTAAGACACAGATTGCAAAAGCAAGACAATAGATGGCATCCCAAAAAAGCCCCATTCTTCTAGTCAATTCTTAGCTCACATCAGTGTTTTTGCTGCTGCACGCGCTCAGAATGTATGACAATGCACAACAGATTGCTACATGAAGGCTGATTCCAATGCTAAGCCAAGCTGCACCTTGCTAATTTGACAAACTAAGCTGCAAACGTTCGGTTACAGTACTGACCTGTACCCGCCGCGCATTGTCAAGCGCCGCATAGAACATTGTGGACTGCCCACAATCGCTCGAGTCAGCGTCATCCAGAAAATCCTCAAGAGAGGCAGCAGAGTTGGTGACATCGACCGACCTGTCTTCATATTCTATCCTTTCTAAGCTCTCGCCATCTCTTGCTTCGGATGCGCTATCTGGCTCTGACTCGATGTTCCAGTCTACAACTGCCTCCGATGCCTCCGCGTCCGAGTTCCGTTCCGTGCTCGTCATGGTCTTGCTAGCAACTTGAAGCTTGTGAACGTTAGCCGCTTTCCGGGAACTTGTTGAGGCCGGCTTCTATTCACAATTTGAGCCCTATGAGGATACTGTCGCTGTTTTAGAATTAGGCTGTTGATTGCACGGTTGGGCTGGTCGGCGCTTCACTGGAGGCGGCTTGGTCGGGGGCTGGTTGTGCTTGTCGTGTTGGAAATTGATCGAAGATTTAGAATTTATAGGCCCGCTGCCCACTGTCCCGCGCAGCTTCGGGACAGTCAGGGACCTCAGATGCGTCTACGTATACGCTTAAAGTTGCAGTGTTTCAAAAAATAGGTTCCACGTGGTGCAATGCGACGGTCGGATCCGGCATGTGTCCACGTGTCCCGAGGATACGAGCATACGTACTGCAACGTATGGGCCCGAATTTGGCGCGGACTGACCCACTCGGGAACTGACCCGGTCGGGACAGACCCGTAGCGGAATTTCGGGTAGACGGAAGGGGGGACACGTGGCGCCCCGACATTGGCCGGTTTTATGCCGGAATTCAGATGGTTAGTTGGCCACGCGCCAGGCCACGCGCGCGGCCAGGACGGTGTATGTCCAAGGGGATCCCCCTTCCGCCAAAGTCACATGTACTTAGAGGCGGGAGCCTTCAAAGCGTGTTCTAGCAGCTGCCAGTGGCTTTGTATGTATACACGCATAACTATGATAGCTTCAGTGCATAGAAATGCTGAAGACGTAACTTTTAGTACGTGCTCAGGACTCAACTTACTACTACTCATGATCACTGTATATGCTTGCAAGCATATGGGCTGATCCGCACGTGCAGCGATGTTAAATATTAGCTGCATTCAATGTATGTCATGTACTAGAATAAAGGGGGGAAAAAGTATGATACAGAAAAATGCCCAAGCGCGCAATGGTTTTTGGGATCATGCTGGCATGTAGCGAGACTTTTGGTACAACTTTTGGGTGATGCAACGAATTGATTAGTAAGATCTCATACCGTGCATTCCAAAGCGCACCATGCAATCGTCAGTAGCCTCCGCTTACGCAGGCTCTGGAACCTCATCATGTGCATATGATCTTTTCATAAAGAGCTCAGGAGAGTACTCGCAAACATACTCACTCGACGAGATGAGCTGACCCTCCCTTTGCAGACAAGACGCAGTTCCCGGGACGAAGCATGGCATCTTAAATGTGCCGGACTATAATCGATCAGACTTTGATTACTACTCCGGTCTGTCTGCTACACAAACATTTTCCTCTTGGTTGACTTCGTGCGATGTGCTCCATGCAATGTCCTCGAAATGACCCGTACGTGTGCTCCGACATTCTTGGGTATCAAAGTAGCTACCATGTACATATCTACCAACGATTCAATTTATGTACATGTCTAACGCGTTTCATTACTTTACAACGATTCTCAGGTCCGAGCTTATGCAGAACAGCCTTGCCACCCTAGCAGTGATCGGTCTTTTGATCAACTGAACTATTGACTTTCCTATGAGCAGGTTTGGGAAGCGAAGTGCCGAGGTGCGCACACAAGCTTATGCTCCTTCCAATGACCCTTTTGACACTGCAGGAACGGAAACACATTGTCTTGGAGACACTGACGGAAACGAATCAATTCATCGCATATGATGCGCGCTCGGAACTGAGTGTCGAACTCCTCTCCATCAATCAAAATACGCACCCAGCCGAGTCCGAGTCCTTTGAGCTGTAAGAGGTTGAAACGACTGTGGGTCAGCGTAATTATATAAGTGAACCGTGTGTACCGCGCTTTTTCGCAACCATGCAGTCTTCGGGTGCCTGAATCTTGGATGTCCCAAAAGGGGCGATCGAAGCACACACTTGGCCCTACAGCAAGGAGAAGGTCAACTCGTTGTTCCTTAGCCAGGGGCATCGCCTCTCAAGTTCTACAATGCTTAACGACAGAAGTAAATAGCCACGTGGTGAGTGACCGAATCGCACCTCGCGTCCGCAGTAGTATGCGGCCTTGCACCGCGAGCACTTCTGGAAAACGAGCTCTGCTGGGGTGCGCTCCTCCTGTACCCTAGAGCAATTTGCGCAGGTCCGGGTCTTGTCTCCACACTCCCGCATGGAAGCAGAAGCCTTGTTTGCGCGACTCTTCTCTCCAATATCGGCGTTGGCGAACGCACCTGGAAACGAGGCGGAAGTGAAGACTGATTTTTTTTCCTTGGTGGCCTGCAACGCTTTCCGGGCAATTGCCGAGGTGATAGGTTGGTCTAGGTTGGCAGAATCAGCGTCTCGATGGATCTGAATGATATAAGCAGCCCGCACATTCGGTGACTTGTTGCAGATGAACGAGACCTGACCGGCCGTACCTATCTTACGAAGGCAGGTCCGCAGATTTGCGTTTTTACATCCACTGATTGCAACGCCCTGAGAAATCGATGGACGGAAGTCAAACGGACAAGTTGTTTGGGTTTGTCAGAAACTGGCGTATGGATTCAGAGGTGATCAAGAGGAAGGGCAGCGCAGGAAGGCTATCAAACGCTGCAACCGACATTGGTTATAGGTTAATGGAAGTCAAGAATCATAGCACCAGAGCGAGCCGGAGTTCATTTTCGACGTCTCCAGGAGGGCGTAAGCAAAGTGAGTCAGATTCGCCCAACTCGAACCCTCTATGAAACCATCCTTTGGACCAACCATTGACGAGGTCATATCGAAACATTTACGAAGTATAAGCATCAACTGAATGCGAGGGTGCCATGGGCTAGTGTCCCGATGCCCACCTGGTGCGACGCTGCCGGCGCCTGCATCAGCGCCGGCGGCGGCATACTTGCGCGCAATCTTTAAGACGTTTCTTCTTTCGGATAACCGGATGCCCCAGTTCTGGTGGATGTCCTGCGAGGTCTGCCTTTCGCTCACGTATCTGAAGTCCGAGAAGCATTGCCTGTTGCGGGCAGGCGGCAAGCACGGGTTCCTGGAGGGAAAACATTGCAGATGAGCAAGACCTGTTTCAGTTGGGCATTAAGATCTAGCGAACCCCATACCGACTTGAGCCTCTACGAGTCCATTCGGATGATTCCTGGCAGTATCGCAAAAGAAAGAGCGGGTCCTGTGGCCTTGCTTGATGTCCGATTGAATAGTAACCCAAACACTGGCCATCGAGTGCCCCTTGAGAGGTTCTTAGTCGAGTCTGTCACATGACTACAAAGATCCTCAGGTTTCAAGAGTCTGCAGCTTTCATTGATTTGTCAGAGGTTGAACATGACAACAGCAGCCACTGGGCTGATTCCAGCAACCACTAAACCACGTTTTTAAAAAAAACAAGCTGGGTTTTGCAGTACCTGTGATCATATGGGACCTGGGAAGCACTGAAGGTCCGCTTGTGCATCAAGAGGATCTCGTCAAATTGATCGATGTAGTCTTCATATTGGAAGTCTAAGCGACTCGCCTCCTCGAACGTTCGCTTGAAGTACCTGCACGAAGATATGCAAACTGTCTGCTTTAGACCAAGCAAGACCTAGTGCAGTGAGAGATGGAGGAAGGCATCGGTGATCGTCCCCAAACAATGGAGCAGACAATGAAGGCACAACAAGGTGACCAGGCCAACGTCCTATGTGAAGTTAAGCACTTGGTTCAAAAAGTAGACACACAGAGTGGTTAGCAAACATTATTGGGGAGAATGATGCATCACGATCACTTGCATTTGGTGAGGCTTGTACATGCTGCAAAGGAGGACGTCCACTGTCAAAAGTAACAAAGAAGCCCTCGGATGACAGGTTCATGAGGTTTGCGGGAGCCCACAACTAAGAATGTTACCCAAAAGGAAATACAAATGTTGGCTGGCCGACAGTAGAAGGTTCAGGTTAATGCGCTGAAGATGCCTCGTGTCCCCAAGGAATCAATCTTTCCTCTTTGAACTCTTTGTTTGCAGAAATTGGATATGGGTGCAGCCAGCATAAAGCATAATGGAGCTTACCTCTGGAAAGCTTCATTGCCTGCCAACTTTGGGAACTGAAAGTTGAAAGCCTCCCCCAAAGTCTTGACCACTTCCAGGTAGTGCTCCACAATCCCCTCATGGCGGCGTTTGTCATGCACCATTGCTCTGGAGTATCTTTGAACGAAGTAAGTCGTCAGCAGAAGCGCGTGATTCACCGCCCCAAAGTCTTTAAAGTCTCCACGCTTCACCAAGGCCGCTAACACGGCGCTGTCTAGCTGGACTGCACCCCACGTGTTTGTCGCCACGGAGTAGAACTCATTTTTCACCGCTAGCGGCCGGGAGTAAAATGCAACCCCAGGGGGCTCTGCAGCTTTCCGAAGCGCTTCAAAGATGCATCCCGCCAGAAGATACTCATCCTCCCTGAACTCTTCACATAGTGCCAGATGACCCGCCGCCAAGCAGAGGCCCTGTAGCATACCACATTGCATCGCCTCCATCTTTGCCTGCACGTTTTGGGTGCAGACATCTTTGCACCAGTCCGCAATTGCCAAAGCAAGGCCCCTGTGCTGGGGGAAACGCTGTAGCGCCTTCGCTGCAGCTGGAAGCAGCTTACGAACTGGGAACTGAGGCAGCTCTACCCAGGCCCAAGCAAATTTGGCCATTGACGCTTGGATATCTGAGCTCTGCACTTCCTCGTTGCTTGTCAGAAAGTAGTGTTCCATGCATTCTGCCACAGCGATGAACGCCTCCGTTAGGGCTGCCGGGTCGTCGGCACTGCGCTCAATTTTTTCGTGCTGCGCCTGAAGAGTGCTGATCCACTGAGCTGAAGACATGGCCGCCATTGAAGGACGCTCAAAGAAACACAGCATGCAATGCTGCGAGTGTCTTGGGCAATTGCCTGACCGCCCCTCATTTGAGTGAACCTCACCTTCTTCCCAGGCCTCTCCTCCAATCGCAAAGCTGACAGAAGGTCAACTGATGTCAACTGATTGTCAACAATTCAGCGAGAAAGTTGGGAGCTCAGCAAGCAACGAGGTTGAACGAGCATGATCAGCAAAACATTGACAAGATACAGCCCAACTTCCAAGGATCTTTGTGCTGGCTAGAAACTAGACAGAGCCTAATCGAAAGAACCACAGTCTTACCTTGACAAGCTTCTGCCAAGCCGTTACCGATATTGGCGGCAATGGTTAGGTTGCAACCGCCACATCGGCACCGTCGATCTTGGAAAGAGACGCAAGTTGAGCCGTTCAAGAGTAGTCCTAACCGACACTTTTCTACCCGAATTGCTCGGGAAGCAGCCCCGCATGACGTCAGCATGATGGATGCCTGCATTGCCCAGTTTGTTGTGTGAATCAAGCTCAAAAGGCCACCAACAAAACTCACTTGACCACAAATTTTTCACTGCTGATAGAGATTTGCGATTGATCACCTGTGCTGTTGCGCTCTGCTCGCTGCTTACGCTTGCTTCTGCAGTCTCTCTGCGCAGACGTTGGTTGGCTGCTGCCAGGATATCCACCCCTCCTCTTGCGCTCGCTTGCTCACTATCGACAATTGCTTTGCTTTGTCATTGCTTGCCATCACTGCTGTCATATTATCTCGTGTACTGCATGCTGCTTCTTTGTCATTGCTTGCTTATCGGAAACCCTCCTTGGTTCCACTAACCCTTGCAAGCGCAGATCAGGCATGGCGTGCAAGACGCCTGTCAAGACGCCTTTGGGCCAGGCGTGCAGGGAGAGGCGCGCGGCCAACTGCCAGGAGTACCAGTCCCCACGACCAGTGGCACTGTTCCGGTCAGCAAAGAAGAGCACCCCCTGCAAGACGCCCTCCAGAATCAGGAGCCCTGGAAAGGTAGGAAAAGCTCAAGAAAAAATCCCGATTAGGAGAACTCCAGATAATGAAGATGCCTGGGACGAGGCACCGGTACGCCTGAGACCTGGATGGTCAGGCTTGGTTTGTTGCTCTACTTGGAAGGATAATGTTAATCACAAATAGTGGTGCATTAACGAAGCAGGCAGCGCAAGCCCTCAAAGGGTTTTTCATTTGCAGAATCTGCGAGAGCAACTGAAGTTGGGCTTCGATGAAATAGCATCTGAATATAAAGTGAGATGGCAAAGGGAATCTAGCCAGCAACTTATAGAAAAAGACGAGATGCTCGATTCATAGATGAGAGGCAGCCGGAAGCGGTGTTATTAGAGGGGCTTTTCGTGCAAATCTGCAAAAGCAGCCAATCTCTCCAACTGCTGCATGAGCACTTTGTCAAAAGCGAGCAGGGGGGTTCAACAACTTTTCCACCAAGGGACTCTAATCAAAGATTAGCCTCAATTGCTTCAATGCCTCCATCTTTGTGGTTGGTTATTAAGCAGTTCTTCGTCCTCGCTTTTGTCTTGAAGTTCATCGCTGAACTCTGCATGCATATCTTGCTTCAGATCATCCTGACTGAGTAGACAAATCAAATCATGCTCGACAATCAGATAGAAGCATCCTGTGTGCTCCTTGGAAGAAAAACCCTTGATTTCTGTCGGGAAGGAGACATCCATTAAACTTGCACACGCCAAAACCCCGCTGCCCTTTTCTGGAAACTCAATCTGACCCCACTGGATGCACACAGACAAAACCCCACGCTGAACCAACCTACAAGCCACACTCTTCTGAAGCCTAACTCACAAGCGATCTCTCTGCCCCCACCCAGGGCGACCGCTTCATCCCCAGCCGCCGCGCCATGGACCTCGACGTCGCGCACTTCACGCTCATGCAAGAGTCTGCCAAGGAGAACGCCGGCAGCCACGCCTCCGACTGCCTCTCCCCCACCAAGGAGGAGTACAAGCGCCAGCTGGCGGGGTCCCTCCTCCGCACCGACGAGAGCGAGCAGTGCCGGATCCTGGCGTTCAAGCACAAGGCGCCGGCGCCCCCCGAGGGCCACGTGAACCCGATGCGCGTGCTCTACTCCCAGAACATGGACCCTGCGGTGCGGCCAGCGAAGAAGGCCTTCCGGCACATCCCTTCGGTGAGGACTGGCTCACTGGTCGGCAGCGTTTGCTTGATCTGTTAATTCATTCTCTAAGCGTGGGTGCTAAATGTAATCTGGTTCCTCAGAATGAATTGAGGGTTGCTGTGAGCCGAGGGACTAGCCGACGTTGAATACTCTGTTGGTGTCCGTAATGTTTTTCAGTGGCCTCGTGCTCTGGAACCTCATATTTACATGTTCAAAGCGGGGTCTGGAGATCTGTTTGTGACACTTGAGCCCCCCAACCAAACATACATTCAGGGGACCAGGATGACCAAGGCTGGGACAGTGTAACGCCCTTCAGCACCATCCCAACTCCTGACAAACTGCTCTCCTGTTTATATTCAATCAACTCAATGGTTTTCCAAGCCCTTGATATCTGCGTTTGTTGATCAGAATAATCTCCACAGCATAGTTCATGCTCAATCTTAATCACTCTCAAATTACCTCCCCTTCTAGAATGCGAAGGCATTATGGTTACGAAATCGGCTGAGATAACCTTCCCAGCAGTCTTACATTAGACTATCAGTGATTGTGAACCATATCCCTTCCAGGCCCTTGAGCGCCATTTTGCATTGACGACAAACTTGTGCACGTCCTCCAAAACCAAAGCCTGAACTCTACCGTTAACCGTCAAACTGAAGCCGTCCAGGCCCACGAGCATGTTCACTGAAGAACCGTAGAGTGTAAATCAAACTCATATCCCTGTCTTTCCAGGCTCCTGAGCGCATCCTGGATGCCCCCGAGCTCGTCGACGACTACTACCTGAACCTGCTGGACTGGTCTGCGCGCAACACCCTTGCCATCGCCCTCGGGAGCACCGTCTACCTGTGGAACGCCGCCAGCGGAACCATTCAGGAGCTCATGGAAGCCGGCAACGAGGGCGGGGAGGATTACGTGACGAGCGTCGCGTGGGCAGGCGACGGGAAGCACCTCGCAGTGGGGCTCGGGAGCAGCGAGGTGCAGCTGTGGGACTGCGAGGCCAACAAACAGGTGAGGATCGTGTCTTTGTCTTCTTCGACAATGAGGGTTTTCCCTTTGTGTGCTTCTTTTGTTTCCTATTGTCGACCTTTGGTTACTATAATAGTAGCCAAGTGCACATGTTGGACTGTGAGGCCGACAAAACTGAATGAAGAAGTCTTCTGTATGGTTTGACCGGTTTTCCTGGTAACACGGCATTGCCGTGTCGTTCCTTCTTATTTGTCATGTCACAAACTACAGAAGCAGCTCTGAAACTAGGAAGCGAAGACATGGACGATGTGGACGAGATTGAGAATCTGTACCATTTTGTCTGTCATTTGCTCGCATCTCTACTTTTTGGTCCCTTGTCTTGTTTTGGTATCATTTCGGGATCAATTTGCATTATAGAGGTACTGGAAGCGAGGCCCAAGTAGCGGACTACAACGTCAACAAACAGTTCGGTTGAAAGCTTTGCCGATTTTCTAATTTAAGCTGGCCTTGCTTTGCTTCTGCTTGTCCGTGTTTCTGAATCTGCTCGTAGTTGGGCTCGAATAAGAAGACGAGAGCAGATTAGCAACGGAGAGAGACCAGCATTGTGACATTCTTAAGGATTGGCTTACCTTCGTTTGTCAGGAATCTGTTCCGAGCACAGGACCTCTGCCTCCGTATCTGACAAGAAACACACCGACACAGGACCAGACAAAACGGGCAAAGCATCCGTACCATTCCATGCGGCATCCTCAACAACGGTCGTCAATGAAAGCATTGCACCGTTTCTAATTCTGACATCTCCTGCTCCTAGATCCGCTCCCTGCGTGGCCACTCTGCACGCGTGGGCGCCCTCTCCTGGTCCGGCCCCACTCTCAGCTCGGGCGGCCGCGACAGCCTCATCCTCAACCATGACGTCAGGCTGCGCGAGCACATCACCGCACGCATGACCGGCGCGCACGAGCAGGTTCGTTCTTCTCTTGAACGACTTCCTTCTGACTACCTATATGCCTTTCTTGTCTTTGTCTTGCTTTTCGTGTCATCGACAAGTCTGCGGCAAAGCTTAGAAGAGTCTCTGCATGTGACAGCATCTGATTCGGACCCAGAGATTTTGTTCCCTCTTCGTTTGGCCTTGACAATGGCTGCCTAAGGTGCCACAACGAACCCTTCTGTAATGCTGCCGAGCACAATCGAAACACCTCAAAACGGGGGACCCAAATCTTCCGTCACAGCTGATTGGAAACCTCTTTGAACTCGACAGGAGATCTGCGGCCTTAAGCCGTCCCCCTCGGGCGTGCAGCTTCCGAGCTCGATAAGAACACCTTGCAACTCGTGTGTTTCAAAAGCTGAAAGCAATTTCTGATTAAACTCCACAGGAGATCTGCGGCCTCAAGTGGTCCCCCTCGGGCGCGCAACTCGCGAGCGGCGGCAACGACAATTTGCTGCACGTATGGGACGCGGCCCAGTCCGCGGCGCCGCTGCACCGCATTGATCAGCACCAGGCCGCCGTCAAAGCCCTCGCGTGGTGCCCCTTCCAGGCCAACCTGCTCGCGTCGGGCGGAGGAACGGCGGACCGGTGCATCAAGTTCTGGAATACGAACACGGGGGCTTGCGTCAACAGCATCGACACGCACAGCCAGGTGAGGAACGATAGCGAGATCACTGATTAATACGCTCAAAATCATGGTTTCAAGTTTGAGAGGATGCGTATACTGTGGGAGAACAGCGATCCTAAAGACGACCAGTGTATCGCCAATGTATTGACCAATTGGTCCCGAGGTCACCAATTGAGACCAAAAGGCTGCACTAGAACGTTCCTCGAGAAGACGCCTGCGCACTAAGAGCTCGATGCTCGATGCACATATTGCGGCCGAGTCAACCAATCGCGGAACAATCTCGAAGCGCGGTTCTGACGTCCGCAGTAGCCGACTAATCCTGTAGGGTTTGCCCTTGAAACAGGACAACTGATCTTTCTCTCGCCCCCCCCCTCCAGGTGTGTGCGCTGCAGTGGTCCCCCACTGAGCGCGAGCTGCTGTCGAGCCACGGGTTCAGCCAGAACCAGCTGTGCCTCTGGAAATACCCCTCCATGGCCAAGGTCGCAGAGCTCACCGGCCACACCGCGCGCGTCCTCCACCTCGCGCTCTCGCCTGACGGCACCACCGTCGCCTCCGCAGGTGAGCAGCCAAGGCTTTCTTTCCGAATGTTTCTGTCCATCTTTGGGTTTTGTTTCTCGTTCGTTGAAGGCTTCAGTCGGTGCAAAAGTGTGCTTCCGGACGTATAATCGTTCAACGACGTCTTAAAAGGCACCACCGTCGGCTCCGCAGGTGCGTTATTGCAGCTTCAATAATCCAATTTCTCCTTCTTAATGAACCTGACATGTTGTGTACTAAAATGCGCCTTCCTGGCATTCTGACCTTGATCGAACGCCTCTTTGAAACTTGCTTATTTTCAAATTGTTAGAAAAGCTGGAACACTTGAATGCCCGTCTTGACTCCCGAGCGGCTCTCCGCGAATATGCCGTTCTGGCTCTCGGTCACGTTTACGTCTGACAGAAGTATTGTAGAACTTCAGAATGTCCCTACTCGACAGTATGCAATGCGGTTTCGCGCAAGTGCTGTCGTCACAGGTGCAAAGGCAGCATTTGCTGGGGTCTTGGACGTCGAATTCTTTCCGAAACCTTTTGTTCTTTACCTTTGCGCCTTCAAATCCTCCTTGTAGAGCTCCTTGGCTCCGCCCAACATCTTTCTCCGAGGATCGTGTCCAACGGCAGTACTCGATCCCTAAACTGCTCCTTGATGATGCTACAAACCTGAATCGACAAGTTTATGAATCGGGCATTGCTAAATCGACGATTAAACGGAGAGATGCTTACAATCCCCACTGCCTCAACTTATTGGCGTCAACGAACACTGATAAAGTCCGTGTCCTGGTGTATTCTCGCAGCTGCCGACGAGACTCTGCGCTTCTGGAAAGTCTTCGGCGGCAACGACGCCGCTTCAGTCCCCGCCGGGACACGTGGCAAAGCGGCGGCTAAGGCACAGGACAGCAGGAGCGGCCTCCGGAGCATCAACATCCGATGACCACCCTCTTCTAAACCCCCTCCCCAAATTCTTCCGAAACCTTCTTCTAAACCCCCTCCCGAAACCCTTTCGAAACCCTCTCTTGAAGCCTCTGCGAAACCCACTCTCAAACCCTCTCCAGAATTGTCCTCCAGCTCCTCTCCCAGAGCCTCGCTACAAAGCTCTCCCGAGTCCTTCGAGGACCCCCCACTGTTCCCCTCCGCCTCTCGGCGCCAAACCCAAAGTCCTGGATTATCATTCCGCAAGTCCCTTATTCTCTTTCCCTTGAAAGCGCGCAATCACCCAGGGTTTTCTGCAGCGGCAGCAACCCTCTCCAACCCCCTTTCTCAAAGGTCCTGGACCCTCTCAAACAAACATGGGATGCCTTTCCCAACAAAAGGCGTCCCTCCACGCCCCCCACCCAAATCAGAAACTTTCATCAAATCCATCTCACTGATCTCTGCAAGATTCTCGACTTGATCACAGAAGCTTGACAACACCCTGCCATGTGCTCTTCAGCTTGATTTGGCCGGTCAACCGTAATCAATCCGTATAGCATGTGGTCACGCTCGCAATATATGCGTGCAGGAGCTGGACCTGCGATTATGATTGCTTTAAACTAGGCTAGCTGAGAGCTATTCAAACCATGCAGGGCAGCATAAACTGGCGGCACGAGCAGATCACATGCAGTGTTGGCTACTGACTAGCTGGAAAATAATGAAGAATTCCCTAGTGAATCATATGACGCGCCGCGCTCCCGGGCCTCGTTGACATATATATGGTGAAACATACAGCCGTGCATGCGCGGCAACCGTCACGGTGCAGCGGTACGAATACGGTACGTAACGTATGATATGCGCCCGCGCGCGTGCCGCTTTGGCCACGCACATGTCGTCCGATCTTGGCACGTATGCCATATATGCAGGATTGGTGCATGGCACGCGTTAATGCGTACCAATTAAGGCGTGCGGCCTGCATGAGCTTTGAAACCTAACAGGTCATGCGCCTATATATGTCGATGGCCGGTCGACCATGTGCTTTCCATGCGGTGCGTGCCAGGCTCTAATTGTTAGCGGCCGCGCAACTTTCGAGTAAGTTGCATGCAAAACCATCAATTCCTGGATCGATCATTTTGCATTGATCGATCCGAAGTGTTCAGAACGTAGATCTGATTGCAGAGAATCCATGGACATGAGACAAGGCAAGCCACACCCAAAATCTGCACTAATACATGCCATGCCTTGATGCACTGACTTGTCTACCAAGTGAGTTGGGCAACTAAGTAAGCACAATCGCATGACAGCCATCCTGAACACAAGAGACGCTTCTGAGCAACGTTTCCAGAGAACAAGGTATGCTTATCTTCCTGAGATATACAACCAAAGGTGCACTTCCGTCTTATTCAACCTCCGCAAGGTAGTCGTTAACTTCTGCGACGCTCAATACCCTGCATCAACAGATAAGATCAGTGGTCAAGTTGCCAGGTCCTGAGGAATCAACGCCATCACCGCTCTGCAGAGTTGTCAGTCATGTTGCTGAGAGTCGTCAGAACAAGCAAGACAAGAACGCAAAGCGAGCGAAAGCCATGAGACTGTACCTGAATTTTTGGTCCTGCCCGATGATACCAATCTCAATGTTGTCACCTGCAATCTGGCCCTCAAACCTGCGCAGAGAACGGAGATACAAGCAGGTCAAGCTCTGGTAGTGCATGGGATTGCAATCTTCCAAAGCCTCATCACATCTCCAGACCTTTTTTCGTTCAAGCGGCATGCACTCCTCACGAAGAAAGTCACAAGGGCCGGCATGTACCGGAAAACTTGTGTGAATGACATTGCCAAATTCCGACAGCCTCAATAACAGAGTCAGTGAACGTCGAGGCCTCTGCCTGGAGCGGTACCACTTTTAGAGATCCGCAAATATTTCGGCGGACCGAACCAAACGTTGCAAAGCAAGAACACAGCTCTTGCAGAAGAGAAGTCCGCTAAACAGCAAACAATACTTAACTACTTGATTCATAGGACTCCGCGAGCCTGGGCCCCCGGGGGGGGTGATTCCTGGAACGAGTGGGCGAGAATGCTAGACGACTTTGCAGCGCTCACCCTTCTTTTAGCGTGAGGATGGCGGTGTGGATGGCATCCTCCAGCTCCATATCTTCCGTATACCTGCAGGAAGAGCGATCATTTTCCGTTTGGATTTATCTGAGATAAAATTCTAGGCATCCTATAGCTCCCTGTCTTCCTTGAACCTGCAGGCGAGCAAAACTGGAACCTCGGATGCACGAAAATTGCATTACTGAACTCAATTGTCGAACCCTCCTTCGACTTCGACGTGAAGGGAAGCGATCCTTGACTTGTAATTGAACCGTTATTCAGATTCACACGAGCGGGGAATGGATAGAAGCAGAGGCAATCAAGACGGAGAACACCGTTATTACTGTCTGTCAGCAAAGCACGATAAGTGGACAGCCGATGGAGGATCACCGCTGGGTGGTCCGACAGAAGGACATTGAACTGACCCTTCCTCGGAGACTTGAGGGGCCGACTAGATGCAAAAGGACGGGAGCTCCGAGGGCACGAGACCTTTCCAAGCGAAGCAAGCTCCAATCACCAACGCCTTGCACGGCGACAGATGCGCTGCGAATCCCAATCAGGCACAAGACTTCCGAACATCAAAGCGGCTCAAATGTCTTCTGATAACCTGCAACTGCTGCTTGTGAAGCTCTTACAAAAAGCTCCACAAGAACCTTTCGAGGCTCTGAGGACCTTTCCACCAAGCAGTTGTTGCCCGTCCCCACTCCGCCCTCACCTCTTTTCCAGGAACGTCTTGGCGTTGACCATGTTCTTGCCGATGGCGGACGCTTTCCAGGCGAAGTAGGAGCCGGAGGGGTCGACCTGGAAGAGGTGCGGGCCGTCGGCGTCGTACCCCGCCACCAGCAGCGACACGCCAAACGGTCGGACGCCCCTGCGCAACCACTCACACTTAATAATTTTGATATTGAAAAAGGGAATAAGATACAGATTACAAAAGAGGGGGGGCCGGCAGGGTCGCATGCTGGGGAGGGGGAGGAGTTGAGGCGTGCAGAAGATTGGAAAGACTGGAAAATATTTTGGCTTTTATTGAGGACTGGGAAGTGTGACCCGCTACAGACGGTGTTCTCTGCTGAGGTGTCTCGGAAAAAGTTGGAAACCGCATTTGGCTAAATCAGAGGTTCTCGGATGCATCTGAAACCAATCCTTAAAGAGCGACTACGACCGCAGGGCGCACGCTTTGTGGTTGACAGAAGATGGGCAACGAGGAATGGTTCTTCTTCGAGCCCAAAGCACACAATTTGGCGCTGCAGCAAGTGTGTGACTGCTGCCCCCTCTTATCAATCAATCAATTCCATTACTATTCGAGTTTAATGAGGAGCTCGGATCCAAGCCACGCAGCCGGCGTAACTGCCAAACCGGCAACGACCTACTGACGAGCCTTCCATGACCACCCCACCTAATACCTGCTGACCGAAAGAAGGAAGAGGCGACTCGTCAGTATCCGTTCAGGCAGTGTTCTTGAGGTAAGAAACGAGGAACAATTGCCTGCTTGATTGGCTTGCAGACTCACCCGGATTGCGTGAACTCCTGCATGACTGTCGCGATTTCTCTTGTGAGTTGCGTAACCGGGATGTTCTCCTGCAATCGGAAGGAGTCGCGGCCATCAGTCGACGACAAGAGAATGAGAAGCCTGACAAGGGTCCTGTTTGGCCTTTTGGCCAAGGCCTTGTGAGTTGCTTGGGTCAACTACAATCTTCCACTACTCATTGACTCAGACTAGGCACATGAGTTACACTGAGCTGAGACTTGTCCTTAAGTTTGTGCTCATTCGGCCTCTAAGGACTGATGACAACCTCAGTAGGAACTCAGCAACAGGGTCCCCTTTGAGGTTCTGTTCAGAAGGTCACAAGGAAGGCTTTGCTGGAAACCAAGAACCTAGCAGTTGTCGCTTCAAGTTGCATAACAGTGCCAGCAGAAATAGAAAAGCGGGGCTGTCTTACCTCGTATAGTCTATGGTACGCCTGCGCCTGCTTCCGACTCTTTCTGACTAACACTCGAGAGTCTGGACCCATCCCGCTGCATAAGGGAAGTATTGCATCAGGGAGACATAATTAAGTATTCCATTGGACCCAGAGATTGCTGCATGTTCCAGTCAGGTCTTCTCTGCTTTGACGACGTACATTTTTTGAGTCAACAAAGCGGCGAATCTTTGGGAAGGACTCAGCAGGCCACTGTTGAAACATGACCAACACAATTCTTGGTGCCACGTGCTTGTGGAAGGGGGTGATTCAGCACCAAGCAACACCTTAACTTCTGTTCAAGTCTTCAAGAAAAGTCACGCGGTTTCTGCTTCCGAAGCCCTTACCTGTACACGACGCCTATATTCTCTGTCAACAAGGATATTTTCTTGACCTGCAATCAAAGCGGCAATCATTAGTCAGCTGTGCCAGATGCATACGCTTGAGTCCCTAAGACTGGAGGATCAAGAGGATCAAAACTGCTTCAGGAGCTTCAAAAGAAAATCGTAAAGTGGTTCAGTGGAGAAGAGGGGGGCTAGCTTGCCCGCAATTGGGCTCTTAAGAAATGCAGGCCTAGGCTGTTGCAGGTCACAACAAAAAGTCCACATCAGATCAGTTTAGTATCTGGTATACAAACATAGTCCTGCAAATCTTAGGAGGCGAGGCAGTGCACTGATGACCTGCAGAAGGCAACAAAATACTCAGAGGACCAAGTGTTTCAATGTCCCAAAGTTGAGCCTCACCGAGTCCTCGTCTATCAGAATTGACGGCAGCTTTTTCTCTGTAGCTATCACGACTCCATTTGTGGCTGCAAAGTACACACGAGAGGGTCAGTCTCCTTCTGAGAGCAATGTAAGAAAAACAGAATTCTTTGCCGGAGGCAGAATTCTTTGTTGCACCAGCAGAATCAACAGAGCTTCCTACAGCCGTCTGCATATGGGACTATATTCATAGACGCTGTTCAGGGGACAATCCATTGCGCCAATGAACTCCTCAAATGGGGGATTCGAAGGTGCTGAGTCTCTGGCCATCGCTTCTTGTGACGTACCTTTGATGCCCAAAGAAGTGGCTCCAGCGTTTACTGCGTTCAGAGCGTACTCTATTTGCACCAGCTTTCCTGATGGACTGCACAGAAGGATGACGGGGTGGTGGATTGTTTGGGTTGACTAATAGCCCATACCAGCAAAAGAGTTGTCTCAGACTATTTTTGACCTCATAGTCCCAAGAATTCGTAAATAGAGTAGGCACAGGCCAGCTGATCACCGTAAAGTAGCACTCAATGGTCCCAATTTTCGGTGAGGGTCACTATCACAAGGTGGAGGGTCGCCATAAGGTTGTTGCGTGTGCTGATAAAGAGCCATTCGAGCAGGGTTGATACAGTCACCCAGGCAGTAAGGTGCTGCTGTCACAAATCAGAACTGCATCAAACAATTGCAACCAGAACCACCAGATGATCGCCAGTAAATTTGAACGGATTGCTGTGGGTCAGAAGGAATCCTCCGTTGCATTTCAGAAAACTCATTCAGGTATCCTAGTTGGATCATAACAACAAGTCAGGAGTTCAAAGCCAAGCGGCGAGCAGTACTGACCTGAAAGTCGTCAAGGAGAAGGAATACTGGCTCTCCCCCATGGTTCCGCCGTCTCAGTTTAGCTCCAAAGTTTGCAGAGGTGATCACGTGTTGGGACGACGCCAACACGGTCGGCGGCTCTGCAGCAAACTCTACGCTTTGCAGAAAACTCTACCTAAGGTGGAAAGGAGCAGGTCCCTCAGGACTTCCAAGAAGCTCAATTGAAGAGCCCAGTTTCAAGTTCAATCGCCCAAAACCTGTCTTAAGAGTGCCCTGAGGCTGGACAGCTCAGGACTCTGCTTTTTGATCGGCCTGCCGCCTGTCCTTGATTTTGCATCAAAGGTACAGAACTGGAGGTGCATATCGAGATTAAACTTGCATATATTGCCGTTTTCTTTTGGCATAAGCCCTGATCAGGAGCCGGGATTGCGTTTTTATATAAACGGGAGAGGCATTGCAAATTCGCCTCGATATTTAGACCATACCGGTATTAATAGACTATATGCTCTATATAATACAGTTGCTGCATTTGTATAAGGGCTCTGGTACTTATAGAGATCCTGGAATGAGATTTCCCACAATACGCAAATATGCAGTCCTGACTCCTGACTCCTGAGTCCTGAGACTCATTGTCGTTGAGAGAGCTGGTTCCTGCTCGCTCCAGAGAGAGCAGTCCCTTGCGTTGAAGGACGACGCCAATGGCCTGTTTGACACGCAGTCTCCACCGCAGTCCTTCATTCCTTTCTCGCCCTGTTGCTTCTGTCCATCGCCAATTGTCTCGCAGCATACCCTCACCACCTTTGCTGCAGTCCAGCCCGTTGGCAGCCGCTGCTCCCTTCAGAAGTACCACCTTTTGGGGTGTCACACTCTCCAATCAAAGTAGCAAGTTGAAACCTTTGCAGTATCGTGAAGAAAAGGTGCGCGTTTTCAGAACTTTCGCGCACCACTCTTTCCTGATGTGCTCACACTCTGATGGATCAGTGTGGGGAAGTTACTGTGTGACAGCATTGCAAGGGCCTTTGCATGCAAAATCCTTTTGGTTCATGGGATTGTATCCAAAATGCATAGCACCACCTCAACTCATCCAGACCATAAAAGGCAGAGATCCCCTTTGATACAAGCCATCAGATGTGCCCTGCATGAATTGGCCTTATCAAAAATGTACGTTGTGTTTTAGAAATCGTGCATAAGAAAGTATCTTCATCGTTCCTGCTTTTTGACCATGTGCAGTGCTTGTTTTAAAAACCCGTTGACACAAGCTTGAAAAGCCACAGTGATCAGTTCATTCTTTGACCTGAATCTATGAAAGAAACTACGGAAACACGGGGACGCAACAGGACAATGGACTGGGGGAACCTTATAAATAAAACCAGCATGTCTTCTTCCAGTCAGTTGTTTTCTGCGCTGGGATAACAAAAATGAAGGGGGGGTTGTCTTTCAACGTCCACTGCCTAATGTATTCGGCATCAAATCTGATCCAGAATCTTTTCAAGATGCAGGTCCCTTTGCAACATCGATTTGTGGCCATGGCGTCTTCCGAGGCACCTCTTGAGTCATCGGCGAAAACTCCTGGAGTGGCGGACACTGTAGATCCTGAGACGCAAGAGTATATCATGCAACAAACGGTATGCATCTACCACGCATCGTTTACTTATTGCCACTTTGCTCCCTGATCCCCAATGGACCGAATCAGACACGCACTGGTAGTGATCAGCCAGGGGGGGAATGGGAGATCCAGTATAAGGTGCCAGATGCTTCTAACTGCAATGGGACCATATTAATTTATCCCCTCTATTTTGCCACTCTGGCCTGTGTAAGCAGTAAGCTCAGGAGCGCTGGTTGACAGTGTCAATATCTTTCCTTTTAGACCTCACCTGTTTGAGAGGTTATCATCCGCTCTTTCTAATGCACCGACTGTTCTCTACAGATGTACAGGATCAAGGACCCGAAAGTGTCTCTGGACTTCTACACCCGAGTTCTCGGAATGAGGTGGGTATTTTGTTTCACGAGGTTGGTATGTGTACTTTGGGGACTCTGCTAAGGGGGGCTGGAGGTTCTCTGAAAGCTATCGAAGTATTTCGTATCTTCTGTTCGAGGCTTTACTACTTCGAAAAGGCAATCCGAGTGCATTGTCTTCAAGGTTTTATTTTCACCGAGAAAATATGTTTGGGTGCAGAACTGTTAAGGGGAAAGGAGAAAGCCTTTGAGGATTCGAGTAAACTTTACGTTTGCGCCTTTCGTGTCTACATTTGTCCACAAAATTACCCCTCTACTCAAAAAAGGAGTCCCAAAAGCAGAGACTTCAGTTGCGAGAATGAAGCAGGAAAAAAGACTCTCAAGTACGAGATAGGGTTGCTTCATCATGCACTTCAATTTATGGGGCTTCTTAATGGTATCTACTTCAGTTGCATCCTGTCGCCACTTCACTTATCATTGACGGAGCATGTCACCAACATTAAGTGTCCCGCTTATTCTCCAGGCTTCTGAAGCGATTCGACTTCCCGTCCGCGAAGTTCTCCCTCTATTTCGTCGGATATGCAGTAAGTACGGACCTTCTGTGAGATACAAAGAACTGTCCCGTTTGACAAGCTAAATGAGCTTTCTGTTTCGGAAACCCATACAATACCTGTCGGTAAATCCCGACCTTATTGTACATTATTAGGCTCATAGAGGTGCTCAGGACCACGAAACGAGAGAGTTGTTGATTCATCACCGACAAGCGACCGCCCTGGCTCTCAGATTCTCGACATGCCCCTTCCTGGCGTCCGTGCAAAAGCATGCTTAGAGTTCGATTTGCGGGACAACTCTCAAAGGTCCCAAGTGTTGATGTTGCTTCCGCCGAACTAAAAGTACTTATCAGAAAATCACTTCTTCTGAGCTCCTCGAGCTGCCGAAACGTGTGGAGATTCCGACACCAACCAGAAGCAGGTCCTACAAGCTCCTGAGTTCGAAGAGCATCGAGGACCGTGAACCAAGACATGGAGACGATGGCCGAAATCAACGGCCATCTCTTGCCCTCTTCAAACAGACGATGTCCAATGTCAACGGCCATCTCTTGCCCTCTTCAAACAGACGATGTCCAATGTCAACGGCCATTGATGGCTCTCTTGAAAGAGATGACGGCCGAAGTCAATGGCCATTCCTTGGTCTCTTCAATTAGACGACGGCCGAAGACAACGGCCATTCCTTGCCCTCGTCATGAAACATACAGAGTGTGCGTGCAGGACCCTAAGGAGATTCCCGACGACCCGGTCCAAAGAGGCATCTGGACGTTCAGGCAGAGGGGCACCGTTGAGCTGACGCAGTGAGTGACGCAATCCGCACTGCTAGTCGCTGTCTATTTCCTTCTTACACCACTGTACGCAGGACGTTTTCTGCTTTCATTCGTTGTTGGTTTATCTGAACCTTTGAATTGTTGTTTTTGAATCGCAGTCGCAGCAAAAGGGACTAAGAACACTTTCAAAAGTTCATTGTAACGGCTTGCAAGCGGGTACGGCTTCTTACGTGAATACCTCTGTACGTTTCAAGTGCCTGACTTCTCGTTGATCGATGTTCGGTAGCAGTAGCAGTCTTGGAGAACGTCATGTCAACGTGGCTCTTTATCTTCGATCGAATCATTGGTCGTGCCGTTTCCATATTGCTTTCAAGGTGTCAAAGCATTTCGATTTCTGGGCCTTCAAGGGCCTATCGCGTCAGCCTTCAGTACTCTTCCGACTGTCAATCTGCTGCTCAACAACTCGTCGAGTTCTAAAGTACGTTCGTGCGATTCTTTGTGCAGCAATTGGGGACCCGAAAGCGTCGCCAACTCCAAGGGCCTATCACATCGCCGCTCGTATCTAAAGTAGTCTAGACTGGACACTGGAGTACTCTTATTTCGACTTTCCTGAGCTCCTTCTTGGTGCAGCAACTGGGGCACTGAGAGCGACCCCAACTTCAAGGGCTACCACAACAGTCTTTCAATAATCTTCTGACTCTTACTCTCCTGCTCGACAAATTTCATCTTCTAGAACGTTTGTTCCCTTATTTGTGCAGCAAGTGGGGTACTGAGAGCGACCCCAACTTCAAGGGCTACCACAACATTCTTTCTATACTCTTCCGACTGTTACTCTGCTGCTCAATAACTCTCCAATACTCTTGCTCTTCTTGGTGCAGCAACTGGGGTACTGAGAGCGACCCCAACTTTAGAGGCTACCACAACGGCAACACGGACCTCAAGGTGTCGAAACGTCTCCATTTTTGGGCCTTTAAGGGCCTATCACATCAGTCTTTCAGTACGCTTCCGACTGTTCCTCTGCCTCTCACCATTCTTCTGAATTCTAAGATAATTTGTATTCTTCTTTGTGCAGCAACTGGGGCACCGAGAGCGACCCCAACTTCAAGGGCTACCACAATGGCAACACCGACCCCAAGGGCTACGGCCACATCGGGCTGTCCGTGCCTGACGTGTACAAGGCATGCGAGCGGTTTGAGAAGCTGGGCGTCGAGTTTGTCAAGACGCCCGACGGCGGTGAGCCGGAAGCATACGTTTCGCAGTTGCTTTGGTTTGTTTTTGGTGATTCGATGCCATCTCTTTATTTCTTTTATAGCGCCGACGTCGTCGGAATTGGTCCCGGCGCGAGCGATTTGAGAAGCGAGGAGAGGACTTTGAGAAGACGCCGGAAGGCGGTGAGCCGCAAGCACATGGTTCGCAATCGCTTTCAGTTTTAATTCCAATTGTCACTTACTGTCATCATCTCTTCTTTCCACTTGAGCGCCAGGGTTGTTTGGAAACGGTCTCGGCGCGAGTGCTTTGAGAAGCGGGTTCGAAGAGGCCCGACTGCTGGGCCGCAAGGATACGCGCAGTAGCTTATAAGTTTTCACATTCCTCTGCGCTTCGTCCTGTCGGTCGTTTCTTGTTCCGTTCCTTCATTCTTTGTTGGCGCCGTATTGGTCAAAAGCCGCTTCGGCGCAAGGGCTCTGATAGGCTCGGCATGAAGTCTGTCGAGGTGTGCGCAAGCAACAACCCGCCCTCTTTATGTCCTTTCGTCGGGGCTTTCAGCGTTTCTGGAGACATTTCTGTTGAAGAGCTTTTCGTTGAAAGGTTTCATTTTTTGTTTCTGGCTCGGCAAAACAAGACGGGCAAGCTTGGCCGGTCGGTCCCAACACGTGCCCATTTTCCGCCTTTCTCTTTTCTGGCGCCCGCCTCTTCCAGATCTGTCGAAAGGCTGTGCACCGTCCCGTGGCTGGTATCTTGCGAATGCTGACAGCTTCTCGCTCTTTCGGGATCCGCCGGAAACCGTCCCGCATCGCATCCCCCGGCTCGAGTTTTGTGCGACGCCCCATACGTCTCCAAAATTACTGCTTCTGACAGACCGCGTTTTGTCGGGCGACTGGCATTTCTTAATTCCCGCACTGTCTTGCACCTGACTGGCGCACAGGAGCAATATGCTCCAAAATCACTGACTTATTCTTGAAACCCGTTCTTTCCGATCTTTCTGCGGTTCTCTTGCGCTTCTCTAAGACCTTGGAAATGCGCTTGCTTTTGTGAATACTGGTTTTCAAACCGATGGTCTCTGCATACATAACCGCTCAAGCGTTTTGACCACGATACGGGTGAAGAGTTGGTCAGAAGATGCCTCTTTGATCCCTGTCTGTTTTCTCTCGACCAGGTTCAATGAAAGGGCTCGCATTCATTAAAGATCCTGACGGTTACTGGATTGAGATTCTGAACGCGGAGAACATCACCAAGTCGTCTTGATCACTGCTTGGCTCCACCTCAGATTAGTTGTGGTCTCATCGCGAGATCAGAGATTTTTTTTACGTCCAAGGCTAGCATGCGGCTAGAAGAAGATGAGGGAAAAAGCATGCGACGCTAGCATAATATGCAAGGCAACCGGTACTGAAAAAACAACTGTGTAGAACTCAGGAAAGATACTGCAGTCACTGGGGCATGACACGTGAGACAGTATTTTCCATCTTTTGGCCGAGAGCCTGCTCGTCACCACTTATCCTCAGCCGCGTTGAAGCACCATAATATGTTAAGCTAGCAAAAGGTTGTGCATCAGAACCAGGCATGCACGCGTCATGGATCGACTTGCACCAGCCATGAGCTGTGGAACAGTACAGGCACCATGCAGGCTCGAAGGAAGTTATGAGGTGGCTTCTGTTCTGCAACTTTGTTTGCAATGCTCTCAGTCCGTGTATGCAGCGGCTCCGAGCCTCTCCGATCATGCTAAAACTCCAGGCGTTTTAGATTTGCGCGTGCGTATCGAAACTGAGGTGTCATTTGGCTGGCATATAAGTGGACAATTGTGCAATCACTGCGTGCTGGTTGGCAGTGAGTGATCCGCTCGGTATAGATGTTTCTTGCATCCCGTCAATTAAGCTCTATAAACACTGATCTATGCATATATATGTGCAGATATGCAACCGTCGTCACTGGACGCGGGCCGCCCATTACAAGCAATGATGATGATCTTGAACTTGGAAGTGCCGCCATAATATACATACATGCCAGTCTTCGTTGACTAGAATATATGCACATGTGCGCGCGAGTCATGCATCCGTGGCCGCCTGCATGAATCATGCAACGTACATGTAAGCTTGCATGTGAACACGGGTACCAGCACGGGCGCTGATTTTTCGGACTAGTATATATAACCGGGCCCATCTTAGTTAACCTTCATAGATAGACTCAGCCCACCTGCAATTTTTGGATATGCCAGGCACTATTGGACGTAGGTATGTAACTTCACTAGTTTCAACTGCAACGTCATCATAGGTAAGGACCTGCCAAACCTAAAACCCTAAGGTCAAACTGAGAGCAGTAACCGGGTTATGACGATACCCAAAGGCGTTCCGCCATAGCCCGCCCGTACCCACCCTAACCCCCCAACTAACCCCACCAAGATCAGTCGGTCACTTGCCCTCTTGTAACCCTAACATCCCCCGAGCACTCCGTCTCCCTGCAATCGAGTGCCCGGTTGAACACTGCACGGTACCGACCATTTTCGACATGGTAGCGTACCGCCACAATGTTCACCGTAGGTACCGGTGATGTCATGCCTACGTTGCAGTTGAAACTAGTGAAATTACATACTCTACTACACTATTGCTGCTTACCAGCTTCAAACAACTCAGATTTCACGCATGGCACCCAAATTTGGCAGCTGGCAATCCTTGTGTAACTTAATAAGACTGTTTTGCGAGCTCCTACAGCTGACATGATCATATCTATCACTGTACATCATGTAGGGTGTCCTCCTTCTCCCTAGGGAGTATCTTTAGAACAAATGTCTAAGGCCTTAGTACAGCTGATGGTCTTACAAGCTTACTGGTGTTAACATGGCTTTGGTGCTTTGACGAGCAAAATACCGCAAGTACCCGCGATAAAGTTTGATAGAAGATTAGCACGGCGCGCTTTCCGATCATTGATTATGATCCTTTCTTCTGGTAACGAGTACCATACAGTTTCATAAATCGCTTCCTAGAGAAGTACCAAATGTTGCGGCCACCACATAGCGGCCTCCACTTAGCAGTGCCGTTCGGCATCGCTTTGAACTGCAAGTAGAACGACCAAAAACCGAGAACATATCAACTCACGATTGTCGCATCTCATCGATTTACGGCGAACCCCAAGATCCAATCTCGCTGCCCAAGACCGGCGCCAAGACTCTGTGCTCAGGGACGCCGATGCGCGGTTGCAGGCGCTTACTGCACAGTCGGTTAAACCTCGCCGCCTGACCAGACTCCTATTTGAGCCGAACGCACAACTTTGCCCGATGCGCAACTTTGGACCTTGCGATGACCCGGATGCCTCTCATTGAACGGCCCAAGTTTTGCAGCTCGAGAAAAGTTCTGAGGCTCCTGTCGTTTGGACTTTGGATTCGGATCAGGCGGCCAGGTGACCGAAGCTGCAATAAGTGATCGACACGCTTCCTCAAAGCCATATTGCAGAACCAGCATAAGGCGCCAATTTCGAGACAAAGCATACCAAGTTGCGGATGATCCATCCCTTCAGCGCTCACCTTAGGTAGACGAAGCGGGGCATTCCCTCAGTCTGAGAGTTGCTCCTCAATGAAGTTCGCCGCTTGCCGCACCGTCGTGATCTTCTCCGCCTTCTCCTCATCCAGGCTGATGTCGAACGCCTCCTCGAGGGCCATCATGATCTCGACCTGTGCAGAGGTTTCCGGTTAGAGTCCGCGCCCAAGGTTCCGTTCAGATTCCGCTCCACTTTCAGTTCAGATTCTGCCCCGAAACCTAGCGCTTTCAGACGTTTGGGGACCTTGCTCCTCATCCGCAGAACATCTCAGCAGTTTTGCAAAAAACTTTTGCTCGCTTTAGGGGACCAAACGATCTTGAGCGCCAGATCTGGGCAGCACGAGTCAAGGCCCAATAAATCAGACAGTAAGACCAGACGACCTTTGACTTGCGACAAGGTAAGTGGGTCAAGCTTTGTTGTATGCATGCCTGCGACATGATTCCCACCTTTTGACAAATCGTGAGTGTTTACAGTGCTACCTGGATCCGTACCCCAGCCAAAAGCAAGGCCGAACCGTCTGATTCTTCGCTAACACACTGCTTGATTCTCGCAGACCCTCTCCTCTCAGATCCGTATATCATGTGCTTACATCATGAACTTCGGGATTGCCACATCCTTTTCGCTCGGATTCCAGACAACTCGCAAGAGGGTCGAATTGAGGAGTTCCCTGAGTGTCTAGTTAGTAACCCCATCCTCAACACCGTGTTCCCATGTCGTCGTTAAATGGTCGCTAGGAAGGTCCCTGTAAAAGGTTGCTTGAAACCTGCACCGTGCAACGCCTCATCCATCGCTTCTCTTCTGATCTTACGGGCCTTCTCCTCCTCCTTTTCGTGCTCTCGACTTTCAAACGCTTCCAAAATTGATCGCTTACACTCCGCAAGGCTTGGGTTCCCCGTCAAAAGGAAGTGGGATTGGTTAATACAGCATCTGCCGAGCTGGAACATCTTGTTGTAAAGTCACTCACAGTGTCCAAAGAGTCCGCCCCCAGGTCCACGAACTTCGAGTCCGCCGGAACGTCAGCAGGGTCTTTTGCTAGCTGCGTGGCGATGATCCTCCGCACGTCGGTAAGCGTAGCATCAGAAGCCTGCACAAAATAGTCAACTGTCGCGCGTGAGTGGCTGCCTCTGTCACCGTGTCATTAGATTGGAGCCGATCCGATTGAGTTATGCATTAGAATCCGAACTTCCTGTATGAAGCAGTCTTATGAAGACGGTGTCCATAGTTCGCTGACAGCAATCAACGTGGTTACTGGCTGTAAGTGGGGCGCTTATACCACAGCGTTGTGCTGGCAGTTGGTTACCCCAACGTCCAACAAAATCGCTTAACCCAACTTCCAATAAAGTTGGTATTTGTCCAACTTCCAACAGACTTGGTTAACCCGACTTCAAACGAAGTTGGTTATCCGACTTCCAACTAAGGCTGGCGATACTAATAGGGTCGGCACAGAGCAAGAGCTTTCACAGACTGTATTGAGCTTAGAGGCCAGCAGGCTTCCCCTGCTAATAAGGACTTTGGGATACAAAAGGCCCTGCAGACTTTTCGGTGTTGTCAGCTTGTATGCCCATCCAGGTGCCTGGCTCTTTCAGTCAACTAACACCTGTGGCAAGCGCCAAAAGAACCTCAAGGTCCCAAGAAGCATCAGAGAAGCGTGATAGCCCTTCGAATCAGCTGACAAAAAATCTCGTTTTGGCAAACCAGCTGTCATTCAAGAGAAGTATTTCTGCATGACCATTTTGAGTGTTTCACGGTCCTGATCAGTATCGGATACATTATGCGAACCACGTTGCAGGCAATAAAAAGTAGACCCATGCATCTTCAACAGTGGTCTGACAGAGATGTTCAGTCAGTATTCTGCTGCCTGGTTCTCTACTCTCGAAAAGATCTGATTCCACGTATCTTTCTTTGAGGACGCGAACTCATAAGCTCACAGTCTTCAGCTTCTAACCACATCGGGAAGGCAAACACCTGAAGCATTCGGAAGCGCTGACCTGCTTCCGCAAATCTTTCTTTGAGAGCAGGAAGATATAAGCTCACAGTCTTTAATCTCTAATCACATAATAAGGGGAATTCCTTTCGTAATTGGAACCTAAACGATCAACAGACCAACGTATAAGAACAGCATCAACCATATTGAAGAGGCTTACCGCCCTGGCGACGATCTTGTTCCGAGCGGAACTCCTGTCATTGTAAAGTTGCCTAGCGGGGGTAGGAGCTATGCGCTGGGGTGACCGCAGGCTAGCGGGAGCTCTTGACGTGGGATGCCGGTTCTGCCAGAAAAGGACTATCAGGTTCACATTGATGGATCTGAATGAGTGCGTTGAAAGGGAGATCAAGCGAGCTCGACAAAAGGTAATCCAGCACAAAATCAGCATGGCGATGGACGGAGTGAACAAAGCAACTGTGACGGGATGCTTGAGGCAATCAAGGAGGTGATTGGTTGGAGACTGTTAATAGAAGCTGCCATCATTGCTGAGAGTTCTCAGAGCCAGGGGCTTCTTGCTGCTTTTGTACCATCGGACTTACTTGTGAAGAAGTTGTGAGCACGGCAGACTTTAATCCCACTGCTCCTGAAAGCGCGCTTGCCAGAGTAATTGACGCCATAGCCTGGGATTGACCTGCAATCAAGCGTAAATTCTGATAACAAAAGCCAGGAAACGAAGCCAGGAGGGGCAGCTATGCAAAACGATGGTGGCACTAAGTCCTGAATCTTCCAAAAGGCTTCCCCAGTTCAACTTGATGGCACAACCATTGAACCAGGAATCTTAACAAAAGCTGCGGACTGCTGCCAAAAAGCTCCTCACTGCAGATCGTGAGGCTCGCAACGACAGTCATGGGGGCAGGGTTGGAAGGCAATAGCTTCAAGCTTCGCCTGGATCACTTACCTGGCTGACTTCACTGAGAGAAGTGGCGCTGGTGAGCCTGTGATGTATCGCCTAAAGTTACATGAATAGGGCGCCCTTGAAGATCAATCGATTGCCATTTCATCCAAGCAAGGGCAAGAGAACTGCAGCTGCAAGGAGGGCTTGCCATTCGGCAGATGGTTCGACGCCCTCACGGAATTCGTTCGCGTCAACTTGTAACGCTCTAGGAACAAAGGGTGAGGCGTTACAAACACGGGAGCGACCCAGCTCATTGAATCGATCAGACTCTTCGGAAAAGACTCTATGACTACAAGGGTGGCAAGTTATCTCATCAAGTTTCCAGAACTTGAAAGCCTGACGCTTTCTCATGTGGCACAGACCAGAGGAGGCTTTGTGCAAGTAGGAGCTTACCGTGCAAGTTGAAGTAGGAGCTTTTGTGCAGATAAGATACTTTGATACAGTTGTTTTTGATAGGTATTCAGAAGTGTCTGGCGCCATGTCGGTGGCAGGTGCAAAAGCAATCTATCTTTGCACTGGGCTTTTTTGTAGGAATTGGAATGAGGGTTTGCGTTTCCCTGCTAGCCAACAACTTTCTTTGCAAACAAGTACCTTGGGGTTCAGCCAACACAAGCCTGCGGGGTTGAAAAGATTGGAGATCAGTCATAAGAGTTCAACGAATGAAAGTGAGTTGCGATTTGTTAGGAATGGCTTTCAACTCATATCTACAAAACCTTTGAAACGTTGGTCTAAAGTGAAGGGGCTCTCAATACCGTCTGCCATTGCTACACCACTGAGTGCCCCTGTCAAATCGTCCGAAACTCCCCCGCCCTTTGTCAAAGAACTTCAAATCAACTCTCAGGCACTTCCCCCTTTCCCCCCACTGTTCAAAGAGAGGTTCGACGGCCTTCCCCTCAGTTCAGACGGAGACGCTGCGTCCGAGGAGTTCATCACCAGGGCGCACGAACTGGCAGTTTCTTGGCTGCCGGCGGACGTCCGAACTAGACTGGAAACCTTTCTGCACGACAGCAGCGGCCCGTCTGTTCTGGTCGTCCGAGGACTACCTGTGGACAGCGACCCCCCTCCGACGCCATATGCGGTTGGGAACATGTCCGCAAAGCCGGGGAAGGTTATGAGCGAGGCATGGGTGCTGGCAGTGGCGAGACTAATAGGGCAGCCGGTGACTTATCAGGTGGGGGTTTGTTTTTGGTCAGAACTATGTTCCTTTTCAGGCGGCTTCTGCGGAAGAATGAAGTCTCTTTGCAAATTGATGCCTGAAGAAGATGGTGGTTTCTTGAAGTTCTTAAATTCACATTGTGTCAATTAGATACTATCTTGTTGCATTACGGTTAGATCCCGAAGGGTATTGCTCAGGGGTCTGAGAGTAACAATTTCAGTTGATCCCCAATCCGCCCAGCAATTTTAAGGTCCATCTATGAAACATCGCAGAGTAGGTTTGTGCTGTCAAAAGAATATTCAAGAGCGTTTGTCTAGGACACTTGTAGAGGGATTGCCCTCCTAGCAATAGGTTGTTGCAACCTCATGGTTCATGGATTCCAATCAGCCCGTACACGGAATTGAAAGAGAGCTGAAATTTTTGCACCCGAACATCTGCCTTCCTCTCCCTTCTCTCTAATGTGGGTTGATTCATCCTGCATCAGCTGTATTCAAAAGACAGGCATCTACACAAGAAATGTTTGAAAAGAGACTCCCTGGACATATCTGTAAGACCAGCATTTGCTGGTAGTTTCCTTAACACTCTTTTCCCGCTGCGCAGACTTTGGTTAAGCGGGGCATGGCTGGCGGGTTAGTGTGTGACCTGACTCCTAACCCAAATTCAATAGATAAGGTCGCCTTTGACGGGTGCAAGAAAGTGCTGGATCTGCATCGAGATTTTGCAGTCACATCTGAAAAGGTGAGACTAAAACGTACAGCTGGCTGAGAGCTCTTACCTGTTAGAGTCTGACTTATCAGATGCGATCATCAAAACCTCTTATGAAGCGGTGATTGATGTGGCTGGGTCTTATTAGAGACAGGAGAATAGAGAATCTTTGTGGTTGTTTTAAAGAGGGGTTCTTTGTAGGAGCATTCGTTTAGCTCGTAGCTTGCAGAACCAGTGAATATGGATCGGTGGTTGTTCTCTCAGATGGGTTCTGGAACTCTTCTGGAGAGTCAAAAAGGTGTCTTCTTAGAGGCTAACTATTTGCAGTATAGTCCGAGGTTTGTACAGATTGCCACAGGAGCTCTGATGCTCTTACCGTGACAGACAGGCTAGCTCTATTTGTGAGCTCCCCTAAGCAATCTCGATCTCAACGAGCCTGATAACACCATTGTTTAAATTTAAACAACCTTGAATCCGGGTACCAAATAACACATTCCGGCGTTTCCTCCTGAGTGCCCCCCCAAACCAAGGAGGTCGTGTGTTCCATATTCGTTCTGACTTCGCTGCCGCTGTACGTGTTTCATCATTTGCATCGTTAATTTGCCCAAGAAGTACCCTTCGACAAACAATGATTGAGGCTCTCTTTGAATCAGGAAAGCCTTGGTCTTAAATCTTTGCCCTTTATGCTTGTGGCTGCCTGCGAAGTCCATCTCAGTAGGCTATCTACAATTTGGCCGTCCGCCTTTTTGCCTTTGGTGACTCTGCTCAATCGCCGAACCACAAACTGTACCCAGTCACTGTCGACTCTGTGGTTTGCCTGGCCCTCAGGTAGTCTCTTTGCAACCAGACGGATCTAAAACCGAACCCGATCAAACTCTGTTTTCGATGTCTGCCCCTGCTTCTGTGGATTGTTCTTTAGCAAACAGCCAGAGACTGATTGCATCAGTAAAGCTGCCTCCCATCTTGCGGTTTCCGTTTACTTGTCTTTTCACCTGTTTGCAACAGTCGTGACTTGAACCTGTTGCTTTGAAGGTGTGTTCCTCTTTAAGTTTCGCTTCAGCCTTAGTACAACCATACCAGCCAGCCAGCCGCACAATATCCCTTATCAATCACCACGGCTGCCCCTGTTTCCGCTTTTCGCTCCTACTTTTGAGGTTTCAACCCTTCTCAAACGAAGGTCACTTGCTCTTCCAGATTGTAGCTGACGCCCTCCTCCTCATTGGCGTTCGGGGTGACCCCCGGAAGGAGGCCCAGACCACCGTTTGCGATTTCCGCGCGCTTCTAGCTGCCACGTCACCATCTGACGTAAGCATCCTCCGCAGTGAACCGATGCGGTGGAATTTTGGGAGCGCGGCCAACAACAGCTTCGCAGTTGCAGAAAAGTTCCTGATCACCGGGCCCGATTCCAACCCGCTTGTGAACATCTTTGAGGAGAACATTCTTCCCGTCGGGGCGGCGAGCCTTAAGGGTTCCCCTCAGCTTTTGGAAGCCTATGCGAGGCTTAAAGAGACGGCGCGGCAGTTAGCGGTGGGGGTGTGGTTGGATGCGGGAGATCTGCTTATTGTAAACAATAGTCGAGCCGCGCACGGTCGTACTGCATACACTGCCGTGTTTGATGGGAGTGACCGGTGGGTGCAGCGGGTATATGCAAAAAGAGAGTTGGTTGGATGCCCGGGCGAGCCCCCGAGCAGGGTATTGCGCTTTGCTTCCTAGAAGGGAAGGAAGTGTGTTTGGCAAACTGCCTGGGGTTCTGAGCTTCACCGAAGATCGTGGGCCGCAATAACCCAGATTAGCTAGGTACGGACCACCATGGCACTAGCTCGAACTCAATTCTTTATGCATTAAGCTAGCTTCAGTATGCCAACGCTTCCTAGGCTCTTTGCTTATCAATTAGTTGTTTGACAAGGTGGATGGCTTCAACACTTCCATAACATTCAAGTGCACTCACGTTATCGACTGTGACAAGTCCAATCATGTCCAATCATGTCGCTCATCTATCATCACATCGTTCAGTACTCTCATGACATGGCTGGCCTGCCGAGGCCTGAATCAGAGGCGATTGAGCAGCCCAGTATTCTGTATGTATCCATCAAACGCATCACCTTTGTTCTCAACGTGGCCGACCTGGAAGCTGCAAGCAGGTTGATGCACGGTAATAAGCTCGTGACTGAGTGCCGGCAGCGCGGGGGCAGCGCGCGCATCACAACTTGAAAGCCCGAGGCGCGGGCCGCGCACGCGTCCGGATGCGTCGCTGCGGCGCGCGGCGCAGCGCTCATGAGTGACCCGGGTACTCGTCCGAGCGCCTCCGTCGGACACTGGTGCCGCGCCCGGCCGCCCGTGCCGCCACGCGCGACTCAGGAGGCCCCGGCTCGCGGGGCAAGTTTTGTACGTTGAACTTTTTGTTTGCGGCTTCATGCGGCTTTAATTGCTTTGCACCAGGCTAGCTCTCGAGTCTCTCCTGCACTTGCCAGGCCAGTGTTGATCATCCTTGTTGCTACGCTTTCTCCTGCTGTTGGCCCCAGAATCGTTCTGTTCCAAACGCTGCAGCCTCCCTGCATCACAAGTGCTGCACTTATCGCAGGATGGCACAGGCAAGCGCCGTCCAATTGGTGGATGTCAGCAGAACAATGCTAAGTGCGGCTCAGACAGGGCTTGGGGGAAGCGGCATTCAGGGGTGTCCAGCAATGTTAACGTTGTCAGGGAGGACGTCTGATGGAGTCAGAGCACGGCAATGTAACAGCGTTTTTGGGCGCCAGACACGGAGGATTGTCTGGGGACAGCATCGTGCGGAACGTTCAAGGGAGGCCCCTCCAAGGTGCCTTAGTTCTGAATCTCCGGAATACAAGCTGCAGAAAGTAGAAATAAATGCTCCTGCAAGAAGGACAGCGTTGCTCTTGGCAGGGGCTGCCTTCTTTTCAAGTCTGACTGCATTGGTGGCTGATCAGAGCACGGCGCATGCGGCCCCGGTTAAACCCCCAGCTGTAGAAGAGGTGCCGGAGATTGTGAAAGGTGAGTGACATGCTGTGACATCAAAGTTTGGGGAGCCCTCCTGCAGTCCTGACCAACAAAGGTTTACATTTTGGTTGTTAGTTTCTACGAGGCGTTTTACTTCCCTTTATGGTATAGACTTCATTCTGTGAGACATGGAAGGATTCGCCGGTAGCCTTCACGGCTGGGAGAATTGGAGAGAGCTTGGATATGAGAAAAGTTTATCTATTGTAGGCAGGAGCACCTAACCTGTGGAGATCGGTCAAAAACTTGACTTCAGCTTGGCGGTTCACCATGAGCACGCCGATCACACACGCCTTGTAATACATGCCCAGTGACATTTGTGGCCCCGTCCGCTTCTGGATGTTTCTTTGGACTGTCCGCTTCTGATTGAAGTTGACTGCATGAATTGCTGGTTGGCTCACCATTGATCTTCGAGCTCCCCATGGCAATCAGAGGGCGGGGCTTTTGCGCCTGTTTGAACAGATTATTTGGGGCTGAGTGCAGAGCGCAGATTGAGAGCCGCGGTGGTAGTGTGAGTTCACACAGTGTTTTGCAACTTCACAATGGGTCATTCGTATGTGCAGAGATGCTTGAGAGATCGAAACTGAACAAGGCAAAGTATGATAAGGAGGTGAGGCAGACCCTGAGCCCAGTTCTCATTTGGAGATACAGCTGTTAGGACTCCTCCAACACAGAGAAAAAAGCAGAACTAGTCATGCAAAAGTTGTTTGTGATGAGTTGCAAGCTGCTCAAGGAGGCTGCTGAATTTGAGTGTGCTCGCTTCGTTTAGCGCCACGAAACTGTTCCATGTACTGCCTGAAGAAGGTTGTGTGTTTAATGCAGCGTTTGGACGATTACAACCGAAGAAACTTTTCTGACTACTTTGAGTTTACCACGGTAAGTCTGTGTTTGTGAGAGGTTATTCGCAACGCCTTCTAGGTTTCTCTGCTGGCCTGATCAAAGGAGTGCAGGAAGCTTGGATGTGGCAGCGATATGGCTTGTTGATAGTCTGTTGGTACTCCCACTTTGGTCATTCGGTAACCTCCCAGTGACCTTCTTCTTGTTTGTAAGTGCAGGGTTCAAAAAACCCCAAGAAAATGACGGAGACTGATAAGGCCATGTTGAAATGGTTAGAGGCAAACAGGAAGAAATAGAATAAAAGCTTGACCATCGTCCATACTTGTTCCACAGCTCAGTGAGCTTCTGCTGGACTTCGTTTGGTGTTGTTGCAATTGACCGATACTTGAGCTTTGCTGCTTATTGTTGGTGAGCCGTGTTGATAGGTAGGTGCTGTTAGGCAGCTGGCAGGTCGGGCAGGGCACATCAATGACCATTCCCTCGAGTGTATGTACTTAAATAGACATCAGAAGTATTTGTCAAGAATTATGCCCAAATATTGGCGAACAGCGGCCGCGCTGTTGTGTATTTCTAAGCTCCTTGCTTGCATGCATGTAATCGAGTGCCCCCGCTAGCCGCCAAAACGGCACTCGCACATGGGAGTTATATGTATATGGTGCCGCGGCACCGCACTATACCTTCTGCAAAAAGATGAACAATGCGCGGGGCTAGCCAGCTGCGGCCGCATGCATCATGTACATGTTTGCAATCAATCGTGCATCTGGCATGCATGACAAACCCAACATGCAGGCCCACAGTGCAAAATGTACCAAGAGTATAGGACCTGATTTTGTGGGGGCATACCTCAAGATTCGATTTAAGGGGGCATGCAGCAGTCAAGATTTGACTGTTGACCTACGTGACAGCATGCAACGTCGTCGAGAACGATGGCAACTATACCAGATTACTAGAACATACCTGCAAATTTCCGAGAATTGAACATTACGGCATAGATAATTGTGGTAGGATCCGAGTGTATCAAGTTACTATCAACTCCAACATGCGCAGAAACCATAATCAATTTGATTGCATTGGAGACAATGTTTGTTTGCAGATGGTAACTTCCAATTTATTAACGCCCTTAGCCACCATGGCCGTGGAGCACATGGAGCAGATCAACGGACGAGAAACTCGAGGATACCTCAAGCTTCCTATACTTGAGACTCAGACTCTGACCTGTCTATCCTAAAGTACAACAAGCAATGGGCTTGCATCTCTCCTTGTCTCTATCCTTAGTTATATACATCCCTATATGCTAACCTGTACCGCGCTTTTGAACACCTGTCGACTCAGGACACTGAGCAACGACACCTGCGCTCACTCTCCACAAACAACAGACCGCCACTCAATGAGAGGCTGACAAAACGGCTTCTCTACCACATCAATGTGATGTCTAAAATTCGTTCCGGGTAGGAGCTCTACGCTTGCTTCTGGATAGGAGCAGCTCTAAGGTTGGCTGTGAATAGCCTAACTCAGCAGCAACTCTGCCGTGGCTGCCTGCTCATGTTCAATGAACCCACCACTAACCAGGGCCTGCTGCGGCGTCTGCACCGTTTGCTGCTGCCACGTCGAGTGACTGAAACCGTGCTTCATGTTGCGCACAAACACCACGAAGTTGCGCCAGTTCTCAGGCCGGAACAGCCGCTCGCTCATCCGCAAAAACGTGAAGGAGTGCATCGGCTCGTGTGTTGGCACGCCCTCGACTCGCAGCCGGGACTTTTGCACCACCTGCTCGAACGCCGCCTCGTCAAATCGGGGCAGCGCATTCTCTCCCGACAATCGTGTCCCCGCCTGAACAGCCGCCGTCACCAACTGCCGGTACAGCCCCTCAGGGGAACACGCCGCATACGGGGGCTGCTCAATGTCCTGCATCTCGATGCACGTGAAGTTGAGCGTCGCCCCGTGCCGCGCAAACATGCGCGCAATCTTGACATAGCCGTCCCGGAACACCGTGTTGTAGTAACCGCTCGTCAGCTCTGCAGCGTGCGACCACGTCTTGTAGTGCCAATGGATCCCCGCAATCTTAGCCGCGATCGTTGTCCCGGTGCCCCTGAACACCGCCGCCGCCCGCCCCAGAACCCGGTCCCCATGCAAAATCAGCGAGTCCGAGTACCACTGCAGAAAGAACCGTCCGTAGGGGGAGTTCCAGGACCCATGCTCGTGGAAGAAACCGGTCTCATCCGGCCACCCGTTGTACCGCCCGGCGTCATGCGGACCGCTCTGGCCCCACTGGGGTTTCTGGATGGTTTCCGCGCAGGCACGCAGGTTTGCAAGCATGTACTTGTCATAGCACTGGAACTCGCCGATGCCGGGGAAGCGCCACATTTCGCTGCTCTCGGGGTAGGACGGGTAGCGCAGCTCGCCAGCAGGGCCAAGGCCAATCTGGATCTCCTGAAAACAGCAAAAACGAAGATGATTAGATAAGATGAAGTGAACCTCTCTAAGCTGACCAGGAGCCAGTTGTCCAACTGAATACGGAAACCGTCTCACAAATAGCTCTGTCGCCCCAAGCACCGTCTCGGGACCAGTCGCGTGCTGCAAAATGCGGAACATTTATCGTGTTTTCTTCACTGGAAAAAGGACGCCACAAAAGGGGGCTGACATTCAATCAATATGCTCACAGGCAGAGGTTCTGAGGTTACTCAAGGACGTCTTCGAAATGCTCAGATAGGGTTTAGAGATGAGGTTATGATGAACAAGCTATCGGCCTTATAACTCTGAAATTCCAGGCCAGTTTACAGAAGCTCCTAAAGAATCAGTGGTGGGTTGCGCTCAAAACTGAACATAAGATGCAAAGGGTTGATGCGCAGGTGGGATGGGTAGGAGCTTAGCATCATCCAGACTCAACGGAGTGAAGATGTGACCATCACATTCAAATCCTTCAGGAACACACAGTGTTTGCGTTCTTCCAAAATTACTGTCTTCTCAACCAACGCAAAGATCCTGCTCTTGTAGCAACGAAACCAAAAAGCAACCCCACCTTTCCCCCTCGCAGAGAAGGGGAAGATTTCAGACACAACTCAGGAAGAACCACTTACCGTGATGGTCTCCCCCAGGTAGTCCGTAAACTCGTCCTTGAAGCTCCTCATGAAGTCATGGTAGCACTGAATGGGCGTTCGCCCCCTCAGCAGCGCCCACGTGTCCACTCCCAAGGACAGGTACTCAGAATTCCTCCGCCCCATCTGATCCGTGTACACCAGATCCGGGTTGTCGTCAATGCAATCTTGGATCCACTCAGGAAGCGGGATCCTGCAGAAATTGGTGTGGCAAAGTCAGACAGCTGGAAGCGGGAGGTAGCTGATACTGAAACAAACCTGAAGCAGAGAAATTGGAGAGTCTGCCTTGAAAATCATGCTCCGTCGGCTGTGGAAAGGCAACCCTTCATTTTGATACGCACAACAGCTCTTTCATCTCTCAACAAGATGATAATGAACAAGCAAACCGTTAGGGCAGCGTCAGACTTTGAGCAGAGGCTCCTTTGAAAGGAGGCATTCGCTTTATCAGCACCTCAGACTCACGCAGGCAAAAGCACATCGTACCAAAATCTGGGGCAAAATATAGAGGCTTGCAGTGACTCACTGGACGTGGTCCCCGACATTGCCCCCACAGGCATGGAACGACATCACCGCTTGCAGCTTCAACCCCGACTCCTTGACCAGAGCGAACAGCTCGCGGTAAGCTGACCACCGGTACTCTTTCGGAGTCTCTCCCTCCACAATGCCCCACCTAACACAGGCAACACAGCTGAGCGTTAGTCCAAGCTCAGAGTTTCCACGCCAGCTCCACCTTGGGGGGGAGCTGGGGGGAGCTGACTAGTCTGGTCTGAGCCTGTTCTGCAAATTGGTCATATTGCACTTCGCAAGCGGTCAAATGGCATTCCTTCTGAGCACCAGATGGGGCAGTGTGAGCTGTAGAGCTCAGTACCCCTGCTCACTTTCAACATCTACTGCATTCCTGCTGCCATTGCACCCCAAGGAAGCTTGCTGACCACGGCAGCCAACAACTGGCTCACAAGAGAACACCTGGGAGGGCAACATTGCAGCGAGCTGACTACAGCGCGGCAGGTCGAGGATCTCCCAGCAGATTTGTTGCAAACCAACCACATGCTTCATAAAAGGTGCAGGCTGCAGCAGCGGGCACGTTAGCTCACCAGACGTCCACCATGACGCCCTCAACCCCCGCGCTCTTCAGGGCTATGAGACTCGCTCGCAGTGCCCGTGGTCTGTTGACTGTGTTAGACATGGTTATGGAGTCCAGAGGCAGCATAATATATACAGGAACAGGACCCTGCAACCACAGTTGACAACTCATCAACAGATGTCCTCAGGCTCAGTTGAGAACCCATTTTCAAGATGACTGGTGTCTCGCGGCTGTTTGACTTTCTGACAGCTCTTCTGAGGTGTCGTGGGTCACCCTCAGGTCTGGCGCAATTACGAAGCTCCAAGTATGTCCACACAGGCAGTAGCTTTGAACGGATATCTCTGGTCACCAACCTCAAAGCAAGCAATTATGCCAACAATTCCCTCATGTGCTGAGCATCACTTCACTGACTGTCTGCAACTTTGCAACGGATGGCCGAGCACAATCATTCTGTTGGGGTGAGGCTAGCCATGCATCTTACATTGGAAGAAGGGGTCTGCCATCTCGTCAGGCCATCCTCCGAAACACTGCGCCAAAACATCTCATCCGTGCTGCTAGGCTTCAACCTGGGCTGGCCAATGGGGCCACTCCCCTCCCCCAGATACTCCCTCACCACATCTGCACTGTCTCTACTCAACCCTAGGCCTGGAAACTGAACCCCAGCCAAAGGGGGCGGCCTGGCACTCCCTGGTCTCTCCTCTGTGAAACTTCTCAGGCGGCTATGCAACTCGTCGTGCAAATTCTCCTGCTCCCAACGAGCCTGGCAGTACCCCTTCCGCAAGGACACACCCCTCTTCCTACTTTGCAACGGTTGAGACAACGGGTTTGGACCGCAAGACCTGTAAAATTGGGGCCCAGAGGACACGCGAGCGCTGAAAGACAGACCATCTGAGGCCCCGCTCGAGCTTGCCCCGCTGTGACTCGTGAGGCGGCTCGAGAGGGCGTGGTCCGCCAAGGGGACGCAACCCGCCTGCGCCATGGCGATGCCTTCAGCAGATTTGATCACTCAACCTCACCCCTCTCCAAGCTATTCAGTATTCTTTGCAAAACAAGATTCAAAACAAACTCGGATCACTTTATCTGCCCTTGCCGTCACGGCTGCATCATGCCGCCATGATTGTTGATCTCCTCCTAATGGCTCCCCTTTTTCCTGATCGCGCTCCTCTCTCGCTGACGAGGCAGAAGAAGCAGTTGAACGGCGCCCCCTCTCTCTCTGTCTGAGTCAGCTTTGACACTCACATGATGATCTTCGGAGTTGCTCAGACGGCGCGTCCGCTGCGCGGGGTACACTTTTCTGCATGTTCGTACCGCGCAATTTTGGGATCCATCTTATTTACACCCAATTACAAAACGCGCATTTCGCAGAAGTCGGAGCGCAAAATAGCAGCCCCGAAATCTGGTTTTGGCGGGGGTGCGCCTCCCCTGCGGAAACGCATCCCCCTTCAAAAGTAGGGCGAGCGATGGTGTCCACGAATCTTCTTTCGCCGCGAGCACTTTATCCACTTGGTCTGAGGTTGTGGGTTCGCTCCCACTTCCCGGCCACTTGTCGACTCCAGTCACACGCACCACGCGCTCTGTTCGACGGGCCACGTTTTATTATTTTGCCAAAGATCCCGGCTTGTTTGAGTGGCCCCCGAGCGAGGCATTGCCCGGTGTTTGGGGACCGACTGCTCCGTTGCACCCCATGTCGGCCCCAAGTTTCAAAGCTCGGTGCTCGGCCCCCGGGCCGAACACAGACGGGGGGGGAAGATGACCGCGGATATCATGTCGGAGCGGATCCTAGGATGATACGATTCCTTTCAGGTGGGTACCGTACGGTACGGCATGTTTACTCCACATCAACCGGTATTCTGGTACTGTCTGCAACGGTACGTACGTACCTAGTACGCGCCGGTAGCTTCATTGCCTCGAAGTTAGATTAGGTGACGTGCTGCCATTATACTGGTGTTCGAGAACGATCCTACCAAACCGTCTTTCTTTTCCCCTCTACCTAAGTTATGCAGCGAGGATAATTCATATCATGCTGTGGCTTGTAAAACAAAATCAACATCGTCCAATGCTGCACCGCCTCAAGTGAATTCAGCGCATGCTTTTCAACTTCATCCATGACTTGGCTAGGATGCTAGAGGGTCGATTTGGATCGAGGTTTCCAGAATTTAAAAGAGAGTAGATCCAAAGTATTGAATTAGGCAAGAGGGCCATAAAGGATTGCTGATTCATCGTGTAGCCACTTGTTTGCATTTCCGTGCAAGGTCCCAAGGCCTCCGCATATAATCTCGAGCGGGGCTGATCCACAAGTGCAGTCAATTCGGTCTCATCATCATGCCTCACCATAAGAATGGCCATCATAATAGCGAGGATGCGGCTTGCTTATAGTGTTCGTATATCGTTTCATCCAGACAATCGACGAAACAAATAGAACGTCTCTCGCTTACTCTGACTAATCCTTGTATCTTCGTCCACATACACAGTGCTCCACTCAACCGACTGACGCAGAGGGCCGGGGACTGGTAGCTGTACCTGCAAAGAGATTCTCCAACGTTTTCCCAAACTGATGCAATCCAAACTGCCTAATCGAAACGTCTGCTGCTCTTGCGGTAACCATAGACTTAATGTGCCTTTTCGCAATAAGGCAACTTGAATGACGCTACTCGTTTGCAAACTTAGCATCAAGAAAGGAAGCATGACAAACGCGAATGCCATTTTGAAAAATGCGGCTCATATCTGTCGATGTTGACCGCACGGGAGCACGCTCGCTTGTCTCACCTGAGGAACCCCGTGTAGTTTCCGGCCGAACAACTCCAACGGCTGCGCAGAGAAGCTCTCGAAGGAGACGGAGGCGCTGTCGTCATCATGGTCCTCCCATATTCCTTGCACAGAAATCTCGAACGTCCCTAGAGTGCCCAGCCTGCAAATATCGGTGCATGGGGCTGTCACTGGAAAACTAGGTAACTCCATAGCCGTCATGCTCACGTCATTTGGGCTCGTCGTATTGTAGTATCTGGATGCTCTAACACTGAGCGGACCATAGAGCCTGGGAAGTAGATTGAAAGGAAGCGAAGCCCGTGAAAAGTGGCTTCGCTTGGCAGAAATACAAAGATTCTGTCAATCGCATGGAGTACCTGAAAAGCATCACTTGTCGATATTGGTGGAATAGACGTATGCTGAGACTAAGGTAGTCAACGTCGAGAGAAGGAAGTTGCCTGCTTCGGGCAATTTCCGACGATCGATGGAAGCGGAAGGCCAAAACACTGGTGCACGTTCCTAACGACGCCCCACTCGTTGTTCCCCTGCAGACTTTCTGACATGATCCTGATCGGACTTGGATTGCTACAATGATAAACTTCAAACGAGCGCCGACCAAACACAAAAACGTCCAAGCCGGATCCGCACTTTTGGCGTCCCAACCTACACAGACGGCCCAAACAGTCAACGAGGAATGAGGTTCACGTTTCTTTGGCTGGGATTCCTCGTCGCATTTCTTGTCTTACACTGAAAGAGACACGGCCAAAATCGACGAAGAAGGGTCTCACGTTACTTTCGCTGAGTTCTCTGCCACCCGGACCGGCGCCGGCTGGGGCACCCCGGTGGCGCCACTGCCCTGCGCCCGTGACGTCACCCGCTGCAGGATGGTGTCCATGGCGAAGGAGGGGAGGAGGTCGGTGAGCTGCCCCGGGCTGAGGCCGCGCGTTTCAAGGGGCTCTGTGGAGTAACTGCGAGGGCGGAAAAACAAACCGGGTCAGAGGCTGGTTACGAACTCTTATGATTGAAAGAACTTAAGGTTGAAAGGGAGGGAGGACGTCGGT